ACTCTTACCCTTTTTGGCGGACTGCCGTGCGTGCGTGCGTGCGTTGCGATAGGTTCCGATGCCCTGGCAAAGAGCCCGCGTTGCGTTGCGGGAGCAGTTCGCGCCTGAGAAATCGAAGGTGGGGGGATGCTGCTGCTGCTGCTGCTGCGGCGCGTGGTGTGGCAAAACTGTACAGAGTGCTCGCAGAAGGCCCCAAGGAGGGGGATGCGCCGCATGTGCACGCATGAGAAGGCACGGCGGGCTGAGCTCTTCGCGTGATAGATCCTGCCAAGGGTTCGTGATGCCTTCCTGTGCAGGCGGTGCGCGCGCTCGGCGTGTCGTCGTCGTCGTCTCCTTCACTCAATACTTTCGCGGGAGGGCTGCTGGCATGTGCTCACGCGCGCTGGCACAGTGCGTCCCTTTTTTTGTTTTTGTTTTTGCAGACGCATTTTCGTTGACGTGTACCACGGATCGCGGCCATGCGTACAGGCCAACCGCGGCGGTCAGTGGCGTGTTTACTTGAAGCGGACTCTGGGCGCGAGAGAGAGAGATAGCACGTCGCCGGTGCTGTGGTAGATTCGCGCGGGGAAACGTAGGACGAACGGCGCGCAGAGGATTCGCCGCGAGGGGCGGATGAGGTCACGCGCCGCGCTGGGCTGGAGCTGCCCAGCTCGATGTGCGTTCTAGACGGACCCACCCGTCGCGGGCTTCGAGTGTGCTCCAATACTCCAGCTCGGGCACATTACTGCATGCATGCATGATACGGTTTGCATTCGACGGGGTTTTGGCAGTGCGCCATGGCGCCATGCTGGAAAATTCTTCGATATACTCAGCATCCGTCCGTTCATGCACATGTCGCCATCTGCACAAGACGATGGTAATAATAATTTTCTGGGGGCTAACAGTGCGCGGCTAGGACATCCCTCGAGACGGCAGAAAACATGCACCATGCATGGCAAACAAGAACAGCCACACGCGTATTGTTTTGCATTTTCTGCATGCTCGGTGTCGTGCATCATGTGCCAGCGCGCTATCGCCCCCCATCGTACGCTCTATCACAAAGCGGGCGAGAGATCGAACAGGGTGCGGGAGGACAACAGCAGCGATAGGCGAGATACCAATGCGGGACAAGGCGACAGGCGAGAGATCGAGGACATAACGGGGCGGCGGCGGCGGAGGCAGGCATCCTAGGAAAACCGGCAAGGCACGCGCAGAGGCTGTTTAGACATTTATGGAAGGTACGCGTGATGTGGGATCAGCAATATATGCGGTGGCGCCGTGGAGCGGTTACCCAGCCCGCCACACATCAGAAGAGGGGTGGGTCATGCAGGGAACACCGTCTATGGCTCGCTGCGGTGCGTCGGGACGACACAGACATACGAGGCATAAAGTGCTTGCGCGCGGACTAGCAGCGGTGTATTGGACAACGGGGGGCCCTTGCACAAGGTTCGTCGGGACGTTCGAAATGCAGCTAGAAGGCGGGCGAAGATCAGCGTTGCTCTCGTCACACCGAGGTGCACCGTTGCCTCGTCCCGCTCGCCGCTAGCGCTGTGCAGCGCAGCCTGCAGGGCGCGCTAGGCTCGAAACAGAAAACACTAGCAGGCACAGCATGCGCAGTGCCCAGCCAAGCGTCGGAGCCGATGCGTCCGAGTTCGCGAGGTAGGAATTGTCGCTGGTCCACGCCTCCCGCGGGGGTTGCACACCACTGTGTTCCTGGCACTAACGTACAACGGGGGCCACCGACACGGCAGTGCGCGAGTGCGGCGACGCCACAGCAGACACGCATGCACCGCGCCCGCCGGGTCTCGTCTCCCACCCTCGCGCACGCCGCACAATCGCCTCCAGAAGCTGGCTCTGCCGGCATGCCCAGGGCCCCGCGACGGCGGAGCGCCCGCGGGTTTGACAGAAAACATCGAAAAAGGTTTTTGGGCCTGGTCCGCTGTCTGTTGTGTGTGTGTGTCGGCGACTCAAAGGCAAGCTAAGGCTGGCCACACACTGGCGTGACATGGATCTGCATCTGCGACAGCTTGACACCGCTTCATCGCCTGTCCTTTTGCCCTTCACGCGAACGGCGCGATGACCAGACCGAGACCGCCAAAGATTGAGGTGAGATGTGCTTTCCCTTCGAGCGGGTGGCGGTGCCAGCTCTGTGCGAACGTCCGCGAGCAGCGCGGCGGGGGAAGTTCCCACGCGTGCGGGATGCAAGCATTCTTGACTCTTCGGACCCTTGTAGTGGGCTTCCCACGGCCCCGAGAAAGGCAGGCTCGTTGGGTCGGGTGGATTGCACACGGACGTTCCCAAGGATGATTCCAGGCATGGAATGCCTCTGGCCGTGCGAAGCCAGGACGCGAAACCAGAGTAAGGTGCGCTAGTGCGGGTGCACTGGAGCCTGAGCCTGGGCGGATCACCGGGCTCGCACAGGACCGTTAGCCTTTGCAGCTGTCACAGCGGCCGCCGAGAGCCATCTGAGATGCCTCCATGGCTGTACATGTCCACATCAACGCCCGCCCGCTTCGCCGCGTACGAGGGCACGCGCCATTACATCATCTCTACCAATCCACACGGTCTTAGTCCAGGGTCGGGAGCCCAGCGCAGTGGCCCCGGCAGTCCAAGTCATTTGCACACAATGCGTCAGATTCTGTTCGGGCCTGCGAGGCGCCAAGGCACACACACACACACAATGTATCTGAGACTTCATTATGTACGCGCCCCGAAGCGTGTGCAATACGTAAAGAGAGATGGGAACCATTCCAGCGCCTGGACAGCGCGCCACGGCCCAGCCCATCGAGTGCGACGAGTCTACAATGAGACAATGAGACTCATTTGAAGCGGAACATGCGCTGGGTAAGTTGGGTCACCTGAAAACCTAAGAGGATGATTACGGGATGATGGTGCCAGGAGATGGTGATGAAAGTGAAGATGCGGTGGCCTCCCGAATGTTGCACGCGTCGAACTAAATTGCAAGAACTTCCGGTAGGGGTCGTAAGTTTGAGAGATTCAAACGTTCGTCACGGGGGCACTATGCAATATTTGCATGTGCGCTGCAGTTCGTGAACAAGTCCGGAACAAGCCATCTTTCCCACATAGGCACGGAAGCCGTGGGAAAAGCGCCACGTGGCGCTTGCAGGCTTTGCACGCTGGTGCCTTGGCCGGGACTCGCTTTGACAAACCACCCCCACTTTGCTGTACGATGCAAGCAACGATTTCGAGGATTTATTCCACCCAACGACTCGTCAGTGCTTAGCTCACGCTTTAATCTCTCAACACTGCAAGATCACCGCCCCCGCAGGCATGACTTGGCGTGGCGTTCAGCAGAGCGTAAAAGTGCGCAAGGTGAGCACACCTCTGTATGATGATGCTTCCTCGAACAAACTGTTGACATTGTGGTCGATGCCATGATGATGCCACCAGTGATTTACAGTGCACATGCCTCAAAGGCAAGGAGCGACGGCAGCATCACCTAAAATTTTCTTTTAGACCAACCACCCAAGCACGCAGGACACACCGCAAGGCAAAAACTTGTGCACGACCGGCGAAGGCGCTCCATCATTCCACGTCTCCTACCGCAGGCTCGCTGCTCCTCGTGCCGCGGCAGCCCTCGCGGCGGCACGCAGAGTCACCGATGACGCGCCGCGAAGCACCGTCCCGCCGGCAGGCCCTTTGGCAGGATCTATCAACAGAAAAGGGTCCGAAGCTCGTCTGTGCATCATCATCATCATCGGGCTGCGCCTCGATGCCGGTCGCGCGTGCTGCTGCTGCTGCTCCGCGCCGAGATGCGTGTTTGCGCCGCCGATGATGTTTACTCGTGTCTTGTGTTGCGCGTTGGTAAAAGTAGACGTCCCTGCGAGGGGCCCCGTCGGTCCGCTGCGCGCAGAACACCGCGAGTCGTGTCTCCCACCAACGTCTCGCACTCTGCGGTCCACGGACGGAGGGGCACGCCTGGACGTCGCAACGGCCCGCCAGGAAAACGTCCGCGGAACGTCGGGCCTGACGAACGATCCTGGTTGCGCGGAGAGCCATAACGATACCGCGCCGCTCCCACTCCCACCGGCGCGTCGAATGTCCCTCCTTATCCAAGCACATCGTGCGTGGGAGCATCGATGCGCCACGCGCTGATACACACGCCCTGGTGATGGTGCTGCACTCTCCCTTTGCCACAGATCCCTGCCCACTGGCAAGAGCACGCACACAGGCTCTCGGAGGACGCGCGCAGGGAGCGGCCGCGGCCGTGGGCCCAGCCACGAAACACACCTTCGCCACCGCCGCCCTGCCCGACCTCACCCCACGTCAGCGTCCGCACACGCACCGAACCGAAACCCCGCCACCGCCCTGCTGCTCCACTGCGAACCCCGTCCCACGGCACAGCCGCGGAGGCGAGGCGGGAGCTCAGGTGCGGCCGCGTGTGGTTCCTGTTCTGTTCGTTGGGGGGGGAGGGGGGGGGCCGTCGCACACGCAAGACCGTGCCCGACGATCCTTTCGTCCACGCTCTTTTTCTGTCTTGGTGCTTCTCTGCTCAGCGCTCAGCCCTGGTTCTTCCCATCGCGACAGGAGATGCGTCGCCGGAATCACCATTGTCGGGCTGCACTAGATGATGCTCGGTCGTTTGTTGATGATGATGGTGATGCCCCGCTGGTGGTGCCTATCAGGCGAGCAGCGATGGGGATGCACATCGAGCTGCGGGGCGCGCACAACCAGGAGATGGACAAGCCATTTGCGTCGACATCTTTTTTTTTCCTTGCGTGCGAGCGAGCGAGAGAAGCCCCATGGTTTGGGTTTGATTTCGCTGATTGTGGTCGCCAGCTTGGGGCGAGTTTGGTAGGGGCGAGGGGGTGGCTTGGTGTTTCGCAAAGCGTTCGGATCTTGCTGCTCGTTGTTCGGGCAGAAGCAGCGCGTCCTGGGTCTGATCTCGTATCAGGAAAGGGACCTCGGAGGTGAGGAGGCGCGTATGTGCATTTCCGCTGGATTTCTGTTTTTGTTGTAAACCGGAAGACGCGGCTGGTAACGTTATATTTGGCAGCCGAGTTCCTCCTGGAAGGTCGTCGAGGCGATGCGCACAGCCCGCGAAGTACTAGCATCCATAGTAGTGGTGGTTTGCTCAACTGGCAGAGCGAAACAATGTCGCGGTCGTGTATTTGTTTGCTGAACCTTATTTGCAAGGTCTCGTCGCGAAGCAATATTAATCTGTGGCGGAACACGGAAGATTTTTATGCATGGCGCCGAGCATATACGGTAACGTTGGAACACGTCAAGTGTGCCCACCGAAGCACAGAAATTAGTACGTCGTAGTACTATACCATCCCCGGAGACTATAGTACTACCGTGAAACACGAATACCTGGATGTTGTCTTCATGGGTTGCGGATATGACGTATTGCCTCGACTAGGAAGACAGGCTCAGCGACAACTGTACAGAAGGCGAGTCCAATGTGCGATCTGTGCAGGTCCGACATAGGAACGGTTTCTTAACGGACTCCCGAAGGCGGTACGACGCGGCAGAGCCTGGGATGCTCGAACTGGGCAGTGAGCATCCTCCTCCGATTCGGAGCTCGTAATGAGACGATTATTCGAAAGTGCATGTTGTATATGTCGTGTGGCCATTGTTGGGTCGTTTGTCGAATCCGACATCTCGCTTGAGTAAGGGCACCAAGGAGAGGAGATTGACTGGTGGGGGCCTTCAGCGAAGCTTTGTCAACCCGGCTCTGTTGCCTGACAAGATACACTCCTTCTCGCCGTCTGGTACAGCTCGCGGGCCCCGTTGCTCCCTTCTAGAACGGTTTCTGCCTCGTCCTAGAGATTGAAAGCGGTCCGGCATGTAAGCACAATATAGTCATTTCGCTCACCAGCTTACTCAAGTAACATTTGGCCACGGCCCCAGACCGCAATGAGTAAGGACGTATTTGACGCGACATATGGGCCCTCCACGATACGACATGACCCTGGGGCGTGCACTTGTGAGTGCCCAGTCCAAAACCTTTCGTGCTCGCAGAGTGAAGACGGGACAAGGGAAGATGTGTATTGATTCCGACTGTAGAATGAACCCTGGAGCACTCGGGTATGCAACCCACCCACTATTGAAGATACCATAAATGAAATATGAAAAATATACCCTATGAAAAATATACCCAACGAGATATGTACGCATAAAAACTAAACAGCCTCGCTCAGCACGATATCAGTTGTACCTCGACAAAGAGGACTTACAATGTTAAATAACCAAGTAAAACTCTATATGCAAGCCGGGTCTGGCGTCGAGTCGATGCGCAGGATGCCCCGCTCTTCGAACTCGGCAAACATGCGCCGGACGGTGGCGACTATCATGCTCATCATGGGCTCCTCGCCCCAGACGTGGAACGCGACGCGCTTGAGGGACGAAAACTGCGGTGTGCCGAGTAGGCGGACGATCTGGTCCCATGGCGGAGACACGAGCTCGTCCAGGTCCTCCTGCCAGAGGTAGAAGCCGAGCTCCTCGATGTACGGCGACGAGACCTGTGAGAGTAGGTGCGGGAACCACTCGAAGGAGAGATCGTCCGCGCCATACAGACGCGCGTACGCGGCGGGCGAGCAGAGCTCGAGGATGACAAGGCCCGTGTTGAGCGTGAGGTCGACGTGTTTCTTCAGGGGCTCTGCGCGCCGGAGGTTAGTTTTCATGGCGGGAGACTGCGCACAAGGACGTACCTATGAAGCCGCCCTGCTCTTTCATAGAGACCAAAGCGATCTTCAGCTGCTTAAGTCGTGGGCCACACGCCCCAATGATCGTCCCAAGCGCAGGCAAGGAAGTGTCCTGCAGCGGACAGCTAGCGAAATAATCCAGCGTCTTGTGGAAGCCAGAATCGACTATGAACGCCGCAAACCTATCCGGATCCAATCGACATGAGTTAGAGGTGAATGACTTGAAGTTGTTCGGCCTTCGATCGGGCAGCAGCCTGAGCTCCTTGCTGGCGGTTGCGCTCTCGCGATAAACAACCATTTCGTTTGCATATACTATCTCCAGGTGGGGAAAGGATCCGAGAAGCGTCAGAAAGGTGTTCGTAGAGTCTAGCTCGCAGCCGAGGAGATGCAGACTCCTGATGGCCCGAAACCCCAGAATGGGCGTAGCGGTGAAGATTGCCTTGCCCTTCAGATAAAGCGCGGTGGCTTTTGGTAGCTTCTCCGAGATCGAGAATAGGTGTTTGTCGACCCATGGTGGCGACTCGTGGGCACTCACTGTGACATGCACCTCCTTCACAAACGAGCCTACGCCTGGACTTGACTCGAGGATTTTAATAAATGTTTGAGAGTTTCGGAGGTTGAGGTGTACGATATTGAAGAGCAATCGCCGTGAAAATGAGAGAAAAGAATGAGACGCCAGACTGCAACTCTTAAGAGTCTGCGCATCATCCTGGAGGAAGTCGACGATACGGGCAATGAGCTCGTTGGAAAGGTGTGGAATTTTCGCCGCAGAAGGTGGCGTCGAAGGCTTAAACTGCTTTGGCTGCTTTGTCTTCGATTTCGGAGGAGCGAGAGACATCTTCTTCTGCTTCGTCGCTGGTCCGGTCATCGTGCGAAGCTGCAAAGCTCATACAAGGTTAACTACGTCGCAAGCGCGCTACAACCTCCGACTCCATCTCAGGTACACACACCTTTATCCTCGCAACGACCAACGACCCAGTGTCCTTAGAAACCCGCCCTGTTCGTGTTTTAAAGTGGGTCGGTTAAGATAGAGTTCGCAGCTGCTGGGTTCCTGTGGCGAGGCGCGCCGCCGAGACTCTAGGGCCAAGTGGTTTATAAGCTACTGTAATCCCAAGAAAAATGCGAGACCTGTGCTTACCGTGGTCTATGCTAGCTGATATGGCGTGATTTGAATCAAGTGAGAGTGCCTCGAGACTCGAGAGGAACGGCGAGGTCGTGCATTGCGGTCAACATCAATGTCGGCCCCTGTCCCGACATGGGATGGCCCGCTCTGGCAGTTCCGCCGTAGTGTGTCCCGGTCACCGGTGAAACATGGTCTATTATTCTGGCTGCTTTGGACATCGTCATCACCTGAGGTGTGTGATGGTCGAGAGCAAGAGGAGATCAGTGGGAGGAAGTAGAGGGTCTAATTGGCAGAATGAACTTCTCAATTTCGATTGACAAGCGTGTCATGCCGTTTTCGGTTCTACCAGTAACCACTTCCGTAAAACAGTTCTAGCCGCTCTGAGCCATATCGACTTGCGCTGGTACAGTTTTGCGTCTGTCAGACTTCCCATGGACGAGCAAGAAAGCCAATTTCTGGACGAGCTCGAGGCGTTTTTGCGCCGGTCAGAGATTGGGTTCTTGTTCTCGCTTCACCCAAATACCACGGTCACGCCAGGTTTTACACCGCCCGAGCCCTGGTTATCATGGTGGGGCTGGGCCGGCGAACCGACCCCGAATGCAGAGCCAAAATGGCGGCTACTCTGGCGGTACTATGCCCAGGATACACCTGTGGACGAAGGCGATTTCGTGCACATCCCCGCTTTGTTGCGCGAATACTTGCGCCATGCACGCGGACTGCAGCTCAATCGCAGCCAAGGAGCAGAAGCTACGATTCCAAAGCGGGAGCGGCGAGATGGCTACACTCCCACAACCAAGGTCTTTCCCAGAAACGTGAATCTACACGGCATGTCGCCCAAAAAGACACACGAAGTGCAGTACATGTCCAAGTACGCCGCTAACGTACTGTCTGACCTAGCGGCTCATGGAACGATCGTCCGCCATGCAGTTGACGTTGGTGCGGGACAGGTCCGTCCTCTAACCCTTGTGCACTATCATGCGATAGCATTCACTGCTCCTATCAGTAGGCTTACTTGTCCCGAGCCCTCCGCGACGACTGTAATATCAGTGTACTGGCCGTAGATTGGAGCTCTGTACAAGAGGAGGGCGCGGCACGACGCGAACAGGACGCAAAACGGGCACAAGGGAAGAGGAAGAAGGTCGAAGGAGAGAACGGCCAGGCCAGCTCTGTATCCTTGGACGACACAACCACAAGGCTGGCGTACAAAAAGATCGTCATTACAGCAGATTCCCTGGTCACAGTCACTAAGGAGTGGACTACGAAACAATCACAGCGGGATTTCGCGCATACATCGACTGAAGACAGCGCTAGCAACACTCCGGTTATCCTTGTAGCTTTGCACGCCTGTGGATCCTTGACTTTGGATGTCTTGCGAGCCTTTGTGCGCCAACTGCGAGCGGCGCAAGAAGGGGAAATCTCGTGGAGACCTGCCGCCGGGCTGGTCGTGGGCTGCTGCTACAATCTGCTTAGGCAGGAAGGTAAGCTAAATCCGCTAATCCTTTTGACAACCGGCAATCTGATCGTCTGTAGACTGCACATCGCTTACTGGACGCAAGGTGAGCTTTGCGGAGAGTCACCTCCAGCTTGCTGCACAAATGCCGCTGCAATGGGGCCGGACCGACGCTGCGCTCGATGACGCTTCTCTTGCTGTCCGAAAAATTGCGTGGAGGGCACTACTATCTGGCATCTTGTCTCAAAACCTCGAAGAGCAACCATTTTTGAGCGGAAGAACTCGAGAGTTGAGGCGATTGGGAAGATTGAGTGACTCTGCATACCGAGGCTGGGAAGGCTTCCTTACCATTGCCCAGGAGAAGCTCGGCGTCGAAATGGCTGGGGTTGCTAGGGACGGTGTCATGGAGAGTCGCCTGGAGGTTTTCCACTTACTTCGATGTGTCTTGGGGCCTGTCGTCGAGAGTTTCATCCTGCTAGACCGCAAGCTATGGTTGCAGGAGCAACTTGCGGTGAGTGGGAGTGTACGAGGCATGTCGTCATCGAGACTGACGAGCGTTCATATCGCAGAGTCTCGGGATGTGTTGGCAGGTCCGCCTCGTGAATTTATTCGATCAGAGTTCGGGTAGTGCTCGCAACGTGGGGATTGTCGTCGTACCTCGTTCGTCTCGGTAGTACTATTGTTTGTTACACCTGCGTATCGTCATTCCTCTACGAGATGAAGCTTCCAAGTTGAGCCTTATGCGGGACATGTGGCGTGGTCGGGCGTCACCCTGGCGTAGGCAACAGCCCCCGCGCCTGCCTCACGCACGGCCACGACAAACTTGCCCCCCGCCGTCGTTGTCGCTGGCGGCCCCGATCCTCCACATCTCATATTCTCTTTCTTTTCTACTTGACAGTCACTCTTTCCTTTTTCACGGACGATGGGACAGGCGAATTCACGCCAACGCGCTGCTCAACGACAAGGCTCTGCTCCAGAGCCTCCGCAGGATCCTACAATTGCAGAGTCCACCAGCTCAGAAGCTTCCGAATCACCCGTACAGGACACCCAGACCGAGAAGAAGAAAGGCAAACGCGCCGCATTACGCCGCAGTATCCTGGGTTTAGTCCCCTCGTCGTCGTCATCACCCTCGTCCTCCCGGTCTAGGAAAGATAGTATTACGTCTGACCTTGAACCTTCGCAATCTCTACGCAAGCGATGGCGCTCGTCGAAACGCTTCTCCAAGGCCCCCACACAGCTCTCGAGCCTACCGGAGCCCGCACAGCAGTCTGGCATTTTTGGAGGAGATAGGGAAGGTGTAGGCAGCGGAGCCTCAGCTGTAGTCGTATCTTCTGGTACGCCTTCTCAGTCGCAACCCAGTGATAGTTCTGCGTCCCATACTGCTGCACGCTCCTCGACACTGGGCGTTGAATCCTCTGAAGAGGAGAGGCCGCCCGAACCTGCGAATGGACTCGCTTCCCCGAATAATCTCACACCGCACACACCAAATTCCGCTGCCGCCGAGTCCAGCAATCCAGTACCTACGTACCCTACTCCTGAGGATATCCGAAGGGAAGTCGCAGAATTCTTGACTGGCCGGGCGGAACCGTCACCTACTGGCTCCGAGATTGTCACGAGTGCCTCTCCTCCAGAGTCGGCGCCCCCGAACACAAACGCAGGCCACCTACAACATGGCGTTCCTCAGGCTTTTCCGCCTCCAGGTACACTTGTCGTTGTGCAAGGTGTCGTTAATACTACCGATACTCCCCATGCGCCGCCATCACAGACCCTTTCTTCGCCCGCGCATCCGCCACCCGCTACGCCAAGCTCTCGGCCCTCAACAGCTCTCCATTCTGCACCGCAAGAGCCGCCCATACGTCGCCGCGCAAGCTCTGTGTCTAATCCTCGCTCTTCCACGCGCTTGGAGGATCGACACGCCGGACGCAGCAGGCTGTCCTCGTTCATGCGCTCAGGCAGGGGCTCAGACACCAGCTTACACGCGCATACAATGTCATCGCCCGAGGCCGATCTCAGATCGCATATCGATGACAGTCCGCCGTCTACCATGGACGGCAGCCCTTCCTCAGCAGCAGAGACCCAAAGCAGCACTCTGTCAGAACAGCCCAGCCATTCTCGTGGTCTCTCGCCAGGGTCTATCGATGTTCTTGGCACGCTCCTCAGGTGCGTGACTGCCTTCTGCAATACGACATATCTAATTATTGCTTGTACAGTGTTGCTGCGGCCGCGACGGCGGCGTCCTTGTTCTCTCCTGGGCTCAGTCTGAACAACCCGAACAGCCCACCCAGTTCGAACCCATCCTCGAGCCCACCGTCTCCGCAGACAAGCACACGGCCACTTTCCCCGACTCCTACCGCAGGTCTAGGCGCTTTAGGCGGACTTGGTGGCTTATCAGGTCTGGGTCTGAACTCGAACCCTACTTCAGCGCCACAGGACAGCAGGGACCGCATTCGGAATGTTTGGGACAGTATTCGGGAACGCGTTGGCCTGAACTCGCGTAGTAATGGTCCGTCTGATCGACCAGCAGAGGATGGGCCTGGTGCTACTACACCAGGAGGCGGCAACCCACGCATGCGTCCGGGCGAGATGATGCTTGCAGAGATGGCACGAGCGCTGAATGCGGGTCTTGGTCTGGCTCACAACCCCAGCAACAGCACCAGTGAGAGAAGGCAGGAGTCCGCCAGCCCACCGCATGCTTTCTTCCCGTCGATTACAGACTCTGGCGGTAGTCCTCCTGAGGGCAGTTTTGAGCGATTCCTCGCGAACCTGCAGAACGACCTCAGGACGATCCTCGGCGAAGAACCTTCCACTGTAGCCTCTCAGGGTGCCGATGTCTCTGTGGAGCCTCCATCCGGGAGTCCGGATGTCGTGGAACAGGCGCAAGCACAAGAACCGGAACGAGTAGCGTCTCGTCCTCCAACCCCCATACCGTCTACCGGAGCTGACGATGACGAGGAGCTTACTGGGGAATGATGACGATCCTCCGCCGCTCGCCGACGACGCCGACTCTGATTCTGACGAGAGCTTCCATGATGCTGATGGTGCAGGATCCGACAGCTCTGATCATCAGACTATCACAGACCAGCCACTTCGTACACCAACTCCCATACCCGACTCCATCGCCCAGGACCATCCTGCTCATACAGAACCAGCTGAGAACCGACGTCGCGAACGTCCTGCCATCAACTTGTGGCGCATATATCGTTTCGATCCAATCCCTGCAACGCACGCACAGACACAGGCGACTGTTTCGCCTCGACCAGGCGGCAACAGCTTCGCTTCTGTACATGAGACCGGTCTGGGTGCTTCGACGTCGGGACCACCGCCACTGACGCGCTCGTCCTCCAGTGAGAGCGAATCTGGGCCCGACTCGCCGCGCTCGCCTCTGACAGACATCCCGACGCTCAATGCACATGCGAGTGTCGTAGTTCCTGTGATTGTCGTGGGCTTGCAGTCTGTCGACGTAGTGGAATCAGACGAACCGGAAGATGAGGCGACGCACATACATCCTAGGCCGAGTTCACCGACCGACCAAGCTGCTCCCGCTGAGGATGGCTCCTCAAGGCCCACGACGCCCCGCGGGCGCCGATGGCCGTCGAGGGCTGCTAATGCGCTGCGGACATGGCGCCCCGGCAGGCGAGGTTCGCAGGCACGGCGTAACGCGGACGGCAGTGGGTCGCGTACATTCCTCATATATGTCATTGGAGGTATGTGCTTTCCTTTTCATAATCCAGTGCTGGACTCAGCGTTTCTTCTAAGGGTACTATCCTCCCAACCACCATATGGTGACGGGTTCTGACAATCTTGACTCGTACGAAGCCCTGTGGGAGCTTGCTGAACTCCTCGGTCAAGTCAAGCCCCCAACTGCGACGCGGGAGGACATCGATAAGTCGGGCTTGCAGATCGTCAAGGCGTCCGAGCTACCGAGGCTTGAGGAGGAAGGTCGCGTAGCGTCGAATTGCGTTGATAGGGTAAGTCCTATCGAACTGCTCTTGAGTGCGCAGCTGCTCAACATTTTCTAGTGTCTTGTATGTCTGGACGACTACGAGCCGGATACCGAGCTTCGTCTGATGACATGTCGCCACGCGTTCCACAAGGACTGCGTCGACAAATGGCTTCAGATTGGCCGCAACAACTGTCCCGCATGTCGCACAAAGGTATGCTGACTGCTTTTGGTCGTCCGCGATGGCATTCTCACATTCATTTGCAGGGTGTGAATGTCCCAGGCGACCCGCCATCCACGACCCCTGAAGCTGCCATCGCGTAGGTAGCCTGTCGTGGCAAAATTCTCTCATCGCCCTTCGTCTTCATCTTCTCACTAAATCCTCCCTTGTGAGGTTTCCTTACCCAAAGGACGATCTCCCGATTGCCTCGTTATTTTGGTTTACTTTGACGCGATCCGCACTTTCGTTATTCTGCTCGCTCGCCTTCATATATGCTGTAGTCAAATTGCATCTCCGTGTGTAGCATCTCACTCTGACCTCGTTCCTACTTCCGCGTCTCATATTCATGTTTATCTTGGTCCCGTCGCCTCACCTCTCTCTGAATGCCCCCAGAAAACCGTGCACTTGTTGCTCTGTGCCATACGATGTTTCAATAGAAGAGAATAATTCAGACTGCGTTATCACTATTGGTTTACACTGGAGTGCGAAATGCATATTGAACAAACGAGATTTCCACTCAGAGTCCCTGCGATTCATTTCGATGGTGCTTATTTTCAGAAGTCTCCGACCGCGCCTGGCTTGCCTGGGCTGCCGGCTGTCCGCCATGCCGCCATAATGAGGTCCACGACGTCGTCCACACCCTGTCCTTGCTTGACACTAGTGAAGATTGTCGGGCCGTCGCCACGCATGAGTTTCGAGTCGCGCGCCATGACCTCCAAAGAGGCACCGACGTAAGGAGCCAGGTCGATCTGCGGCACGTGAAATCAGCATGCGGGGGCCCGGACGCGACATGGATGTGCAGGGCGCGTACCTTGTTGATGACCAGCAGGTCCGACTGCGAGATGCCTGGGCCTCCCTTCCGCGGGATCTTGTCTCCTCCCTATGGCCAGCAACGATGGGTCAAAAACGAGCAGACAGTATTTTCACGAGAGGGAGCACGCACTGAGACGTCAATGACGTAGATGATATAGTCCGCGAGCTCGCGCGAGTAGTTTGCCGCGAGGTTGTCGCCACCGCTCTCGACGAAGAGCAGCTGGCAGCTGTACCGCGCCTGGAGCGTCTCGAGCGCGCCCATGTTCGCGCTGATATCCTCGCGGATGGCGGCGTGCGGGCACCCGCCGGTCTCGATGGCGAGGATGCGCGATGCTGGCAGCGCCTTGTTCCGGATCAAGAACTCTTGATCCTCACGCGTGAATATGTCGTTCGTCACCGTTGCTGCGTGGAGGAAAGCGTAGTGAGTTTGCAGCAGGGGGAGGGGAGGGGGAGGGGCATACCTATATTATATTCCTTGCGCAGCCTCTGGCACAGTGTGAGCGTAAGCGCTGTCTTGCCTGAGCCTACGGGTCTGGTCACGATATGAGCATGGTCTGCAGTTCATGAGATCCTTGTGACACACCCGCCAATGCCGACTGTGAACCCTCTCTCTTCAAAGTTGCGCGAGCTGTAGTCCGGCATGTCGCGCTCAGAGTACTTGCCTGTAACATGAAAGTGCACCAGCGTTTAGCAAATCAATGTCTGGTGATTCCCATAAATCCCAATGGCCTGCCTGCGTTATCCAGATGCTCATGGGTATGCCCGTGCTCTCCATGCTCGTGAGAGTGCGGAGGACCGTCGTTGTGCGAGTGCGAGTGCGGGGTCTGGTTCCCTGCACCGGACGACAAGTTGTTGATGAACTGAACGGCCTCTGTCGTCATGTCTTCGCGAGCTCCTGAGACTGTCAGTAGTGGTCTCTGCCAGGAATCGGGGGGCGCATCGTAGTCACTTTGTAGACGGATTTAAACCCGAGATAACAGAGAGGAGCGTGATAACTTTGATCCGCTGATTCTGTAATGAACGACCAGATGAGACGGGATCCGCGGGATCAATAACACTGGTCGCACTCGCAAGTGCACCAACTACCTAACAGAGTCTCGGCTCCAGCCTCCAAGCCACTTGCTCCCAGGATAAGTAAACCATTGCCCGGGTTGCCCTTGGGTGACCAATGGGCAAGCCAGAACTGCGACGCAAGGTATGGTTAACGAGACTAACCTAGCGTGCAGCTGCATTTATGAAATAAGACATGTACGACTGAACTCGATGCTGCACTGCAAAAATACCGAAGCGGCAGCATGAGCACGGGTACACAGTAACACCGTGTGGGGTGTGGGACTACATGCCACAGGGAAGGGGAAGGTGGAAGAGCAATTACGTGCAGCATTGTCTTTCGTCCGTTTGTGGATATGCCATGCTTGAAGGGGTGAAAGTGAAAGTCTGAAGTCCGAAACTTCTTGTCCCTATAATAGACCAGGATATACAGGATGTCAGGCTATTGCAAATACGTAGCTGAGCACAAGGGGAAGTGCCGTATTCAGTGGTTTAATTTATACACATATATAGAGCATACCGACTCGCGGCCGAATCGCAGGTATTTCGCTCGCGGGTCACGGTTCAACTCACAGGTCTATAGGGAGTGTAGCAGGATACAGCATTATATTCAGCTTCTACATATGTATAATACTCAACAAGGCTACCATCTCTTCCGATAATGCCATCGTAGTCTGCTTCAGAGTGACTTACATGGAATGGCATTGATAACATGAGAACATGTTACTGTACGATACATGCCCACTTGCTACTTTTAGAGAATGAGAGGGATCACTAGTCATTCCAGTGAATAGTGGCGTGACCGCCAGTAACGGTCGAGTTCCAGGAGCGTTCGCATGGTACAGACTCACGGGTACGACTGATGATAAAGCCGTTCTCGGAGGTGGCAAGGAAGGTGCCCTGGAACACAGCGACGTGGTCGTCATCTTCCCCGCTTCCACCTGAATCCGCGGTGCCCTCAGGAGGGACAGTGATGAAGTTCAGACCTTCACAGAGATGGCTCCTCAACCCTGGATCTGTACTCTTACGGTAGATCTGTAGATTGTCTAAGCAGGCTGTATCAATAAGAGAGAAAGAACGCTTGCCTTCACTTTCGAGCCAATGTCAGGAGTGGCATCACTTCGCAAGGCGATAGTCCCGCGGGCAGGATCTCCGCCTTGGATGGTGTAGAGTTGGTAGAGCTGCGCGACAATGAGTGTACGCGCTTTTCCTGACTTGCTCATGCCTACCTTGCCGTCGCGGTGCACGCCCAGGAAAAACTCGTCTTCTTTGATGCCTATGTCAACGTGGGTTGGGGTAGCTTTGCCGTTTAGCTTCTCTATAGCTGAAAGGATGAGATGCGACGGGTTCGCGCCATCCAGAGTGTGTACCATGTTTCCTTCAATGCTAACTTTTCGTCAAGACGTAGATAGCCGAGATATCTGTCAACTCACTCTGTCACCGTCAATAGCCTGTCTGTTATCGCATTCAGCTCAGGGAACTCCATATCCATGCGGGGCTTTGCAGAGCCGTCCGAAGTGAATGCAATGCCCACCGCACCCGCCGAATGGACTTCGTTGCCGAAGAATAGCGTGTGCGGCCGGCCATTCACGAAGGGTGTTGACGATGCGATGAAGCCCAGCTTGAACCACTAGAGTTGCCGCCAGTGTTATTCAAGACAGGAGAGGACGGACCTCGACGAGC